AATAGAAGGATATTCTTTAAAACTTCAGAATAAAATATTTCATACAAAAGAAAATATGGACTGTACTGTTGAAAATGTTTTATATGTTTTAGTTTGCAACGGCTGCAAAGAATTTTACATAGGCCAAACAGGTGACAAACTCAGAAACAGAAAAACTGTTCATGCTCAGCAGATAAGAGACCCATCAACCAGACAATTACCTTTAAGTGAGCATTTAGATAAATGCTCTAAAAAAGACCCGAAATTTTGTATTTTCCCATTTTATAAATTTCACAGTAAAAACGTTTCAGCTAGGTTATCTAAAGAACGCTATTTTATTGATGTTTTTAATCCAAAAACTTAATACTATATAATGACGTTACTATTTTTAGATTATGCGTACACATGTGTACACAAAAACGTCGTCGTTACTATGCGACGACGTCACATTTGCCCTGATGATCATAAGAGAAACCGGTTGGCAAATAATTAAATAAGTTAACTCATGGACTGTGTTTTTTGTTTTATTTATATATATATATATATATATATATATATATATATATATATATATATATATATATATATTCACACATACCTTCACTTGCGGGGTCGCTAAATGAGACCATGGTTATGGGGCAGAGTCGAAACCCCGCATATGTGTATATCATAACCCATAAATATTGTATAAAAGTCTATAAAAAGGCCCCTTACAATAATATATAAAACCCCATTATTTTCTATATATGTATAATAATTTGAAAGTGGGGTCCTCAAAGAAGCCAACAAATATTTATACGTGTTAGTTGGGTGGGTGGTCAAGCTACCAAGTATCGTGGATATGAGCATTATATCAGAATGTGACCTTGTTTTTAACTTAACTTACGTATTTCCAATGATTTGACAAAGTTTCGTAGATATTAATGCAAGACTGTGACTAATATAATTTCAACAATTTCTTCCAATGTTTGATGTAATGATCCAACTTTTTAATCCAACCTGGTATATCCAAGATTTAAACGCGGACACAAATTTCATTGATTACCTGAAACAAAAAGTATATATATAGATCTGTTTTTACACCGACCAAGTTCCATGATCCCATGTGTATCCTGATGATAGCTTGAATTGAGCATTTGTATATAGGGGTGACAGGACTGTTTCTTGGTAAAGTAGCCTGACTGAATGTCATTCATGGACCAAAATTTCTTTTTATTCATGGGCAATTACTCAGTTAAAACTGTTAAAAAAAAAACAAAAAAAACAACGAAGATATCTGCAAGGACTTGAGGTACACATCAATCCTGTAACACTTTATTCAATGTTTTTGATAATAGTATAACAGTAGTCTGGAAAACCTTGAAAACAAGAATTTGTAACAGAGTTACCAACGTCCCCCGCCCCGGAGTTTTATATGAAGCATAAAATTGTGCTATTTCAAAAGATTGAGGTATGGATCTCAGGACATTCAGTCCAAAATTATGATCAATGCTAGATCTGCAAATGTAACAATAAATTTGTTAGAAAAATAAAATGAAACACGGAATTTAAAAATCTATCATGTTAAGCTTTGACCTCTAAGTGTGACCTTGACCTTGGAGGTAGGGGAGCAGGTGTTGTGCATGACATAACGTCTTATTATTGAGACTATTTGTGCCAAGTATTTTCAAAATCTCTTGAACTATGAAAAAGTTATAGATTGGACACAAAATATACCCTATAACAGACTATGTAAATCTTTGACCTCTAAGTGTGACCTTGACCTTGGAGGTAGGGACACAGATGTTACGCATGACATATCATCTAATCATTGTGACTATTTGTGCCAAGTATTTTCAAAATCCCTTAATCTATGAAGAAGTAATGGATGGGACAAAAAATATACCAAATAACAGACTCTGTTAACCTTTGACCTCTAAGTGTGACCTTGACCTTAAGAGGTAGGGGTGCAGGTGTTGTACCTGACATATCGGCTTATTATTGTGACTATTTGTGCAAAGTTATTTCAAAATCCCTTGAACTATGAAGAAGTTATAGATTAGACACAAAATATACCCTATAACAGACTATGTTAATTTTTGACCTCTAAGTGTGACCTTGACCTTGGAGGTAGGGATGCAGGTGTTGCGCATGACACATCCTCTTATTAAATTGACTATTTGTGCAAAGTATTTTCAAAATCCTTTGATCTATGAAAAAGTTTTAGACCGGACAAAAAATATACCCTGTAACAGACTTGAATGAGCAAGTACGACCTTGACCCTGAAGGTACGGGTCTGGTTGTTGCGCATGACACATTGTCTTATTATAACAAACATTTGTGCCAAGTTATCTCAAATTCCCTTGATAAATGACAAAGTTATGGACCGGACACGAAATATACCCTGTAACAGACTTATGTTAATATTTGACCTCCAAGTGTGACCTTGACCTTCAAGGTAGGTGACTGGTTTTTGCGCATGACACATCGTCTGATTATTGTGAACAATTATGGCAAGTATTTACAAAATCCCTTCATAGATAAGAAAGTTATGGACCGGACACAACATATACCCTCAAATAGGCAATGTTGACCTTGAATGAGCAAGTGTGACCTTGACCCTGGAGGTAGGGGTCTGGTTGTTGCGCATGACACATCGTCTTATTATAATAAACATTTGTGCCAAGTTATTTCAAATTCCTTTCATAAATGACAAAGTTATGGACCGGACACGAAAGTGTGACGGGCGGACGGACGGACGGAGCCTATTTCTATAACCCCCTTTTTTCTTCGAAGAGGCGGGGGACAATAAAAATCATTAAAGTGCCATGACTCTAACAAAAATCATTGAACTGGAAAATACAGATAATATGCACAGCTAGACTTGGTAATCATCATTCCTGCAAAGTTTGGATGAAACTACACCTAATGAGTTTGAGGAGAAGTCCGACAAGATGAGTGACAGATGGAAGAGTGTTCCCATTATGTATCAGCTATTTTGTATCATACAAACAACTATGTTGCAGTCGACACAAAATTCATTTACTGGCCAAAATACCTCTTTCATTCAAGGCCCATAACTCAGTTACAATCATTCAACAACAAAAAAACCAACTGATAAATATGCGCAAGGACTCGAGGTGTTAACAAACCTTTAAAGTGTTATTAAAATGGCATTAGAAGATGTAGTCCGGACAAACTTAAAAAAAAATCATTAAACTTAAGAGCCAAAAAAATATTTACAACTAGTCTTGGTACTGATAATTCCAGTACAGTTTAGTTAAAATCGCACCTGCAGTTATTGAGTCTGGACAAGTTTTGTGACTGACAGAGGACAAAGATATGCTCCCTATATATGTTGCCACTACATTGTAGCAGGTGACACAAAAATGTGGTTTTAGAGTGCTAATATTTCTAGCTTTTAACCAAAAAGCAAAAGAAATAAAAAAGACTATTATAACCATTTTTTTTCTTTAATGTTTCCATGAACATAATTACTTACAATAATAGACATTCATTCAAAGCAAATATAACATTTAACATTTTAACATACTAACAGGAACTGAACTAAAAGACATAATTGCAAAATATTCAGAGCAATAATTTCTAAATTTCAATTTCTTTAGAAAGAACATATTTAAAGTGTATAAAGCTATATCTTTCATGTTTTATGCTTTGTATCAAGAAGAATAGATACAGAATACCTAAAAATGAAAGAAATTCGTCTTTCTATTTTTTGACATCAAGTGGAACATGCCCAAAAAAATCGATAAACCAAGTAAATATAGTAGGGGAATATTCTGTTCCTGAACATTTTATTCAAGTTTATGTATATTGGCAATACTTTTCATCCGATATAGATTTATACACTTTTAAAGGACTAGAGATTATATTATAATAACAAATAATGCATATTATTTTAACTAAATGAGTTTTTCAAATAAAGAACAGAAACATTTTCTTAGTACATGTAGTAATTTTCTATGTTATTTTAAAGTCAAATTAGTCGATAGATTTAAATGATAGTTTACAATATAATGAACAAAGAGATATCAACAGGATGATTGGTGGCCCTATACTGCTCACCTGACAAGCTAAGCTGTGTTAGATAATATGTTAAGTGTAGCAATGGTATCGAAGTACACTAAGCAAACTAGTCTATACATGGAATCTTTATATTCAAGGGACAATATGCCATTAAGAATTTTGCAAGTGATGTATCTTTTTCATTGACATATTACAAATATTTCAATTAATTGAGTTTATGTATTACTATATACCCATATTGGAAACTATAATTTGAATAAATAATAATAATTTACCGCTTCAATCAATTTAAGGGATAATTGACCTATATATGTAGTCTCTAGGACATTTGAAAAGTTTTTCCAGATTTGGGCACTGTGACCTAGCTTTTGATACCAGATGGCCTACATTTGAACTTGAGCTAGAAATCAAAACTGCTGGTGTGAAGAAACAAAGTCATTTCAGTGTTTCTATTTCTAGCTCTGGCAGCCATATTGTGCAGAGGATCTGACCAAATATCAAAACAGACAAGTTGTGTGCATATTTTTTTAAAATTGGTTGATGAACTAATGCATGCGCTTCAAATGAACATCCAAATGATCACAAAAGCTCACCATGGCCACTAAAAGGTCAAGTGAGATATAAAATAAACAAGAGGGCCATGATGGCCCTGAGGTCGCTCTCCTGTATATAGGCCCCCCCCCAACCCCCAACGTTGCAGCTCTAGCTCATTAGACTTTTTAAAAGAAGATTATTTTTAAGTTTTTACAAATACACATATAGTTAAAAACAATGACACCCCTGGGGCCGGGCCAGGGCTTTTATTTGAACAAACTTTGTAGACACTTACTAGAAGATGTTTCATGCTTAATATCTAAACTCTAGCTATTTGGGTTTTTTCAAAGAAGATTTTAAGTTTTTGCTATACACATATAAGGAAAATCAATGACCCCCGGGGCGGTGCCAATTTTGACCCCAGGTCTTTTATTTGAACAAACTTGGTAGACACCTATATATCTTAGCCATAGCTCTTTGAGTTCTTTAAAAGAAGATTTTTTAAGTTTTTACTAAATGCATATAGGGAAAATCAATGACGCCCCGGGGCGGGGCCAATTTTGACTCCAGGGCTTTTATTTGAACAAACTTGGTAGACACTTATTAGAACATGTTTCATGCTAAATATCTTAGCTCTAACTCTTTTGGTTCTTTAAAAGAAGATTTTTTAAGTTTTTACTATATGCATATAGGGAAAATCAATGACCCCCTGGGGCGGGGCCAATTTTGACCCCAGGGCTTTTATTTGAACAAACTTGGTAGACACCTATTAGAACATGTTTGATGCCCAATATCTTAGCCATAGCTCTTTGGGTTCTTTAAAAGAAGATTTTTTAAGTTTTTACTATATGCATATAGGGAAAATCAATGACCCCCCGGGGCCGGCCAATTTTGACCCCAGGGCTTTTATTTGAACAAACTTGGTAGACACTCACTAGAAGATGTTTCATGCCAAATATCTAAGCTCTAGCTCTTATGGTTTTTTAAAAGAAGATATTTAAAGTTTTTTCTTTCGGTTGCCATGGCAACCAGAGTTCTGAATGGAATTAAATTCTTTGAACAATTTTTAAAGGTGACCACCAAAGGAACATTCCTGTGAAGTTTGGATGAAATTGGCTTAGTGGTTTATGAGGAGATGTCATTTAAAGTAAAAGTTTATGGACGGACGGACGGACGCCGGACGAAAAGCGATCACAAAAGCTCACCCTGTCACTTTGTGACAGGTGAGCTAAAAATAACTAATAGAAAAAAGCAGATACTAACATTGCTAGAAAAAAACTTTCTTAACAGGCACAAAAATTGCTATTCTACTACAAAGGTGGTCATTTTAAAAGAAAAATATTTAACTCCAAACACTAGACAGTATATAATTCATTAATCACATATGAAGCAGCAAAGAAATGAAATTCAGTCAATATCTAAATTGAGTAAATATCAAGTGAGCTCATAAATTTGTTATCCATTGAAAAAACTATTTCACATTATATACACGAATATATTTTAAGATAACAGAGCAATACTTCAGGGAGATTGATATATATTCTAGAAAGGTAAATAAATGGAATATCATTTCCAGGAGAATAATACCTTTATTTTGAATAATCACAAGAGAAACTATAAAACTGATGGATACTTCAAAAATTAATGCTTGGTCCCAAAATGAATCCTTTTTTCCAAAAGGACTAAATCTTGATATCACTGTGGGATACCTCCTCAAATTGAAGGAGTGAAAGTTCATTATTAATTCAAATGAAGTTAAGGGCAATAACTCCTATATCATGCCAATGTGAACTATGTCTTTGATGAGATATATCTACTTTCATGTTGATAACCTGTTTTAGTTTTGGTGTGGGACAAAATTTAAGTATGAAAAATAACAAAGACTGATAAGTTTGATATTATGCAAAGACAAGTTATGATTCTTGTACACTGTATTTTCCTGATCTATCTATCTATCTATCTATCTATCTAATGTTACCTATGAAACTCTATGTTGATATATGTTACAGTTTTTGTTATGACAAAAATATGACAAACTGATGGACAGATAGACAAAACAGCAACTAAACATTTCTTTTTAGGGACAAAAAAATATACATTGCTTAATCTGTACTAAAGTATATTCATATACTGTGATTGACCTATAAACAAGCCATTACTGTCTAAAAGATTTCATAACTCACAAAATGTTAGAATTTTAACTTGAATAGGTACACAAAATGTTAGAATTTAAACTTCAAATAGTACAGAAAAGGTCATCCCAAAAACAAAAGCAGACTACCTAGATTTATAAATAACCAATTCTGAAATGAAATGCAATTTTTACATCCTGCATAAACATTGAATGATCTTAATGGCACTAAAGGAAGCATTATTATGTGATCAGTACAAAACAAATTCTAGTTCACTAGACTAATTAAACATATATAATTATATTGTAGAATCAAAATCTTTAATAATGCAAACACATCTAACACATTTAAATTCTGAAATAAATTGATCTATAAAACAAAAGCAAGTGGTAAAAGTGTTAAAAAGCAACAAAACAGACATTGTCAAAGTAGCAAAATTCAATGTTTAAGGTTACAGTATGACACTCAAATATATGTAACAGAAAATCCATGACATTCTTTATTCAAACTGATGAAAACTTTTATTTTCAAAATCAGATTAACTTTAAAAGGCATTTTCAGATTTTCTTTTCCAATTTATAGGATTAAGGACCAGTTTTGTGTATGTTTAAAACAATATTCAGACAAGTCATTCTCATCACTTAATCAATTTCTATTATACACAGTTCTCCTTTTAGTTATGCCCTATGCCAAAATGGAAAATTTGTTCAATATATGAGCAATGATTCATTGTCTGAAATATACTAAATATCTATGAACAGAAATAAATAAAATTTCAAGCAGTTTACAAAGCATTAATTTTTCTATTTCTGAAAAGGGCTTTATTTCTCTACAAAAAATCTAGCAGCCATTTGGGAGAAAAATGTTAAGTTCCTGATATTTTCAACTTACTGAGAATGATGGTAGAACATTGCATGCTGGGCAAAAAGTTAACCCAAAATCAAAACAGGGTTGCTATAAACTCAGTGAACTTCCCAGAATTTTCCCTTGCCAAATTTAGGGTATTACACAACTCATTACATTACTGTTCATAACAGTATGTTTTAAGGTCCAAAACAGCACTTAAAAGAAAAGCTTCCACAAGTACTGTTACACATTTAGGAATATATGTGCTTATACTCGCTTTATAATCATCAATTGATTTTGAAACCTAATCATCACCTGTTGCTACTCAAATTAATAACCATCTCTGATAAGTCATAAGGCAGTTTAATACAAAAAAGGGGTTTCAAGAGGTGAAAAGTTTAAAAATTCAAATGAACAGGATAATTAAGAATGAAGCTTATGCTGCATTATATGAGTTATTGCTAATCATTTACAATTACTTAATTGCTTACAAAGGATATACAAAAGATAAAATAATGCTGATATAACATTAAGTACTTTACATTAAAAGAAAGTTATTGGCTAATATGGGTATAAACTGAATCAGCTCAATCCCTGCAGGCATTTTGAAAAAAGAGCAAGCCAGACTGACAGACAGCAGAACAGAGTTCAAACCTTCAGCCCCATTCAGCTTTTCACAGTAATCAGACTGCCTAACATTTTCTTGACTGGGAGCCTAAAAGGTACACATACATATTGTTTGAAATGCTTCCTAAAAACAGACATGACAGCAAATTCACATTTCACTTATTATCTGCACATTCATTCATGGTCTTTCCTTATAATGTTTCATATACATTAATAACACTGTATACTGCTAATTGTCATGGCCTTTGAGGAATCTTTCCCTACTTTTTACTTATTTACAGACAAAAACTAGAAATGTGTCCATAGGACACGGATGCCCCCACACGCCACTGTTCTGTCAATCTTATGACTCTAGGTCAAATATTTTTTGGACTACATGTGCCACAAGTTGAAAACTAAAAATCAACAAAGGGCCATAATTCTGTTAAATTTGGTTGCAGCAAAAATTCCTTCCTTTACTACCATCTACACATTAAGGTTGTTCATCCCTGGAAGTTTAAGCAAAATCTGCCATCCGGTTTAAGAGGAGTTGCATTCACAAAATTTCTACATAGTATATAGTGAAAAAATCAACAAAGGGCCATAATTCTGTAAAATTTGGTCGCAGCGAAAATTCCTTCCTTTACTACCATCCACACCTGAAGGTTGTTCATCCCTGTAAGTTAAAGCAAAATCTGGCATCCGGTTTAATAGGAGTTGCGTTCACAAAATTTCTACATAGTATATAGTGAAAAAATCAACAAAGGGCCATAATTCTGTTAAATTTGGTCGCAGCAAAAATTCCTTCCTTTACTACCATCTACACATTAAGGTTGTTCATCCCTGTAAGTTTAAGCAAAATCTGCCATCAGGTTTAAGAGGAGTTGCGTTCACAAAATTTTACATAGTATCTAGTGAAAAGATCAACAAAGGGCCATAATTCTGTTAAATTTGGTCGCAGCGAAAATTCCTTCCTTTACTACCATCTACACATTAAGGTTGTTCATCCCTGTAAGTTTAAGCAAAATCTGCCATCCGGTTTAAGAGGAGTTGCGTTCACAAGATTTCGGGACGTACGGACGGACAGACTGACTGACGGACGGACAAGTGCAACGCTATATGCTCCCACATTGTGGGGGCATAACAATGGAATGTTGTGAGGTACTTGAGGTGTGCACCACCTAAGAATGCAAGAATCCTCTGAAGTGTTCTTTAATTCAATACTTTTTTTTATATTTTCCTAATTTGATATTGTTTATTTTTGTACGAATAACAGCTTCTGATCTGTCTTGTAGCACAGGATAACATTTTTTTGCTTCCCTAATCTCCACTGTTGAAACATTTTTCTTCTGTTTTATCTGAATATCAAAGGCTTCTCTCAGAGCACTCTCCTCCTGTTTAGACCATCGCGGTTTTGATCCTGAAAGGTTACAAACAATTATCAAAGATTTTCCAGCAATACAAATTCCCTTACCTGATAGAACCCAACAAGAAGAAACATGCAAATCTTTTTACATCTACTGAAGTGTAACACTGTTAAAAGAACCCTCATGGAATACTTGATTTTATACATATATCAAAAATTTGACAAATTTGAACAAACTTTATGAAGGATAAGAAGACCATACTACATACCAAATATTAATGCTCTAACCCTTTGATTGGGACAAGATTTTTTTTTAAAATTCTATGATATATATCACAATTCTATCATCACCATTTTTATATAAACCAGTAATCAGAATTGTCAAAAAAGGTCCAATATTTCAATTAATATCAAACAAAAATGATCAGTCTTGATTAAAGAGGTAGCTTTGATAGTGGGAAACAAATGTGAACATTTGATGCTTTCCAGGATATCCATGATATTATTCATGCTGAACTTAAACATACAAGTTTAAAATGTTTCCTGCATTAAGACACGTGATTCTAACAGTAGCTGTGATAGTGGGGAAGACAAGTCGTGTTTGCAGCTAACATCTTTGACATATTTTTGATATTCATAATAAAACATTTGCATATAAAATTTAACCAAGATGTGATGCAAATACCAACATGTTTACTGAGCAAGAACAAAAGCACAGACCTTTTTTCATACAAGTGAATTTTTTTCGTTGTTCAAGAGGGAGAATCTACTTCAAAAAGAGGGAGATTTAAGAAATTACAATTAGATAAAAAAAAAGGAAGTTTAGAAAGGAAAAAGAGGGAGATTTCTTTATTTTGTGAAAATATCCTTTATTTAAAGAAAATCATTTTAAAATTTTAAATCAGAAAGAAATAGGGAGATGTTACATGTAGTAATAGTAAGGTTAATCAAAATGCAACCCTAAGCTCTTACATCTAGGGCAACTGTCCTTTATTTAGCTCAACAAATTAAGTCTGGTCATATTTTTGTTACATGGAAACTTCAGTTTCGAGTCTGGATATATATAATGGTAGTGCAGGTTTGTTCTAAGGTTGGGCATTGGGCCTTTTGCCCTCATTCTGGGGAAATATACTAGTCTTTTTTTTTGCAGAATGGAAACAAAAAAAATGTGATGTAAACTTCATTTTGGCTGAAAACTGCATGATTTTAAAAGAATTTTCCAAGGGGAAAACCTTTAAACAACTCCTGCTTAAAAGAGACGGAGAGGCCTATTGTTGGATACAAATACACATGTATACCCATAAACAATAAATACCTGTACATGCAGGAGGTTCTGGTTCAGCTTCTGGTTCAGCTTCTGGTTCAGCTTCTGGTTCAGCTTCTGAATCATTTTCATCATTTACATCATAACACTCGGGTGACTGCAATACCTCCGGTTCTGGTTCAGGCAATTCTGCAAGAAAGGATGTTTTGCTCTTCTAAGTGTGTATGTGTGTTATGATTTTTACACCATTTTAACATTATTATGCACCAATATATTCATGTTTGAGAAAGCTACAAAATGCTAAGACACAAATGATATTTTACAAATACTTTATTTTGCTCATATAATTTATAAACAAGAGGGCCATGATGGCCCTGAGGTCGCTCACCTGTAGCCCCCCCCCCTCCCCACACCCATAAGAAGATGTTTCATGCTAAACATCTAAGCTCTAGCTCATTGGGCTTTTTAAAAGAATTTTTTTTTTTTAAGTTTTTACTATACACATATAGTTAAAAACAATGACACCCCTGGGGCGGGGCCAGTTTTGACCCCAGGGCTTTTATTTGAACAAACTTTGTAGACACTCACTAGAAGATGTTTCATGCTTAATATCTAAACTCTAGCTATTTGGGTTTTTTCAAAGAAGATTTTCAAGTTTTTGCTATACACATATAAGGAAAATCAATGACCCCCGGAGCAGGGCCAATTTTGACCCTAGGGCTTTTATTTGAACAAACTTGGTAGAAACCTATTAGAACATGTTTGATGCTAAATATCTTAGCTCTAGCTCATTGAGTTCTTTAAAAGAAGATTTTTTAAGTTTTTACAATATGCATATAGGGAAAATCAATGACCCCTGGGGTGGGGCCAATTTTGACCCCAGGGCTTTTATTTGAACAAACTTGGTAGACACTTATAAGAAGATGTTTCATCCTAAATATCTAAGCTCTAGCTCATTGGGCTTTTTAAAAGAAGATTTTTTTAAGTTTTTACTATACACATATAGTTAAAAACAATGACACCCCTGGGGCTAGGCCAGTTTTGACCCCAGAGCTTTTATTTGAACTTTGTAGACACTTACTAGAAGATGTTTCATGCTTACTATCTAAACTCTAGCTATTTGGGTTTTTTCAAAGAAGATTTTTTAAGTTTTTGCTATACACATACAAGGAAAATCAATGACCACCCGGGCGGGGCCAATTTTGACCCCAGGGCTTTTATTTGAACAAACTTGGTAGACACTCACTAGAAGATGTTTCATGCCAAATATCTAAGCTCTAGCTCTTAGGATTTTTTAAAAGAAGATATTTAAAGTTTTTTCTTTCGGTTGCCATGGCAACCAGAGTTCTGCATGGAATTAAATTCTTTGAACAATTTTTAAAGGTGACCACCAAAGGAACATTCCTGTGAAGTTTGGATGAAATTGGCCTAGTGGTTTATGAGGAGATGTCATTTAAAGTAAAAGTTTACGGACGCCGGACGAAAAGCGATCACAAAAGCTCACCCTGTCACTTTGTGACAGGTGAGCTAAAAAATGAGGTCAGTTCTGAGATACATAAGCAAAAGCTGTCGGTAGGACAGCAACGCTCGACTATTCTTAGTGCTTGACAGTAAAAAAGCTTTGATAATGTAAAATTTTCTAAGTTAACAAAAGGGTTAAATTTTCTTTAAAACCATGTTACAGTTATAGGCCTCGAAGAGAGTCCTATTATGCTGTTAAAGGAGTATAAAATTTCAACTTGTTTCAAAGCCAGATGTCAATAGAATATGAAAATATCTGTGGTGGTATGCAAACTTAAATGTAAATTTTTAGTTGAAAAAGGGACATAATTCTGTCGAAATGCTTGATACAATTACCTCCTCCTGTCTACAGGTTAGGGTCATGATGGTGAACAAGTGTGCAAAGTTTCAAAGCCATATGTCAATGGACTTTCAAAATATTTGAGGTATTACAAAAACTTTAACGTAAATTTCAGGTAGAAAAAGGGGCATAATTCTGTTAAAATGCTTGATACAGTTACCTCCTCCTGTCTACAGATTGGGATCATGATGGTGAACAAGTGTGCAAAGTTTCATGGCCAAATGTCATTGGACTTTGAAAATATTTGAGGTATTACAAAAACTTTTAACATAAGTGGTTATGCCGACGCTCGGGTGACAACAATAGCTCTACTTATTCTTATCGAATAGTTAAGCTAAAAATAACAAGAGCTGTCAGTAGGACAGCAACGCTCGACTATTCTTAGTGCTTGATAGTAAAAAAAATGCTTGATAGAGTTACCTCCTCCTGTTTACAGGTTGGGGTCATGATGGTGAACAAGTGTGCAAAGTTTCAAAGCCATATGTCAATGGACTTTGAAAATATTTGAACTATTACAAAAACTTTAACGTAAATTCTAAGTCGAAAAAGGGGCATAATTCTGTCAAAATGCTTGATAGAGTTACCACCTCCTGTCTACAGGTTGGGGTCATGATGGTGAACAAGTGTGTAAAGTTTCAAAGCCATATGTCAATGGACTTTGAAAATATTTGAACTGTTACAAAAACTTTAACGTAAATTCTAAGTCAAAAAAGGGGCATAATTCTGTCAAAATGCTTGATAGAGTTACCTCCTCCTGTTTACAAGTTGGGGTCATGATGGTGAACAAGTGTGTAAAGTTTCAAAGCCATATGTCAATGGACTTTGAAAATATTTGAACTATTACAAAAACTTTAACGTAAATTCTAAGTCGAAAAAGGGGCATAATTCTGTCAAAATGCTTGATAGAGTTACCACCTCCTGTCTACAGGTTGGGGTCATGATGGTGAACAAGTGTGCAAAGTTTCAAAGCCATATGTCTATGGACTTTGAAAATATTTGAACTATTACAAAAACTTTAACATAAGTGGTTACGCCGACGCTCGGGTGACTGCAATAGCTCTACTTATTCTTATCGAATAGTCGAGCTAACAATAAAAATGAAATTATTCACATTTATGTATTTCCATTTATTGACCATTAGTAAATTTAGTTTAATGGCAAAAATTTGCTAAAACATTGTCGTGAAATTGCTTTAGTGAGCAAATTTTCACTGTAGATCTGTCCGCGCTCTGCAACAAAAGTTCGCTCTATAGCATAAAATTTGTCGCTGTTTGCGACGAAACTAGCTCCCCGCATATCACAACTTTTGTTGGGAGTCCCGTTGCCTGTACTTTAAGCATGAGACTTGACAGGTACTTACAAAATGTTAACAAAATCAACCAACCACATTGATCACTCAGGTACAACATCTGGAATTATATTTACAATACAAGCTCCTCTATATTCACAGTTCAAAATAAATTGCCAAAGTTCTCTTACACTTTTGTTGTCAAATAAATAAATTCGTTTACTGTATTCATCCACATGGAAATCAAAATTTTTAACACTGCAAAATTCTACACATGCAAATAGATGTGCACATCTCTTCAATCTGATATAAGAACGTGCAGTTCTATTTTCTTCCATAACTAGTTCCTCCAATAAAAAAAGTCATTTTTCTTGAAAAAGTAATTAGTTGAACATTTAATATAAACTGTTTAAAAAAAATAATTCCACAATTTTCAATTTCCATAAAAGCACATGATAAATCCAAGATGGCTGCTTGCTATTTCCTGTTCCTGTAACAATATACAAAATAGTGGGGTTTTAATGTTTTCTGTATAAACTGGCTCTGTGCATCAGTAAATTTTCATACCTTTATGATGAATATTGTAAAAAAAATTAGCAAGGTATCTTGTTTGAAATTCAGTATAATAATACAAAAAAAATATTATATTATATAGTCACAGTTTTTTATTAAGGGGTCTAATCCTAGTGTCAACATGTATATGACTATCAAACTGATTCCAAACATCAGATACGAATATTTTTTCAGAATTTTATTAAAATTTGCAAACCTTACCAGTAACCTATATCAATGTGGAAAAATATTAATTGTTTCTGTGAAATTTCAGTGAAATAAAGGTACTCTGCCTGCATAAACTGCATACCCCGCATAAAAATTTGTATAATTCATCATAATGAATTCTAAAAATTTCTAAAACTTAACGATAAACTGATTATTTTAATAAAGGTAATGTTTTCCATTGCATTGCAAAAAATAAAAAACTGGTCTAGGTACCTTTTCCCTCTTATCATGCATGTCATTATACAAGGCTGGGTATATGATCTTCTGGGGTATTTGGAATATTATAAATAACATCATAAAAGTAAAATTGACCTTGGGTCTATCATACAATATACACCACTAATTGAGATATTTTGACAAAATAAATAGTCACAGAAGTTAAGTGTCCTTTATTACTGAGCATATTGACTTGAATATCACATGTTGTTGTGCTTAGTAATATATACACCATATCCAATCTTCCTTGTCATATGTAGACTAGACACTAGAGAACATTTATTGATAAACACAAGTTCAAAATACACTAAATGAACCACATCTGATCTATATATTTATGAAAACGAAAACATTACCTTTTAAATGTAAACACAACAGCATGAAGGACTAGCAATTAGGCCCAGGTCTCATTAAACTGTCCCAAGTTTCTAAGGTATTAATAATTCTTGTAACATACCTCAATATTACAAAAGATATAACCATCATAAAAACTAATATGATACCTAAAATTACACACAAAATACAAATTAATATGTTAATCTCATCCATTTTTAAGGAGATACAATTCCATTCCTGACCTGGCAAGCATCCATTTTTAAATATGGCTACACTTCCTGTGTATAAACATATATTCAGTACCTTATTATGGGGTTTTTATTATTGTGACAAAATGCCTTGCCACACATGTTGCAACTTGTAGTCAATATAGACCCCAGAAAAGGGTGTTTCACATGGGAATGTATGATAAACCCCTTAACTGACAACAATCTATATATCCTTGAACTTAGGTAAGTCCACCATGAATAATACTTTGTAGCAGGCGACACAAAAATGACACTGTGTGGCGGCGATAAAATATGAAAATGAATTTGGAAATTTCACTTTCCGTAATGCGGCCCTATGTGTAAGAAATGGATAGAAAACCTTAGCAAAAAGATTTGGTTTTTAATACAACGAATACACCTATATATTTATTTTTCAATTATTATCAATTCTAAATAAATCAAATCGATTATTAAAATTGAATACCTCTTTGAGTATAATCGATTATATTTTTATCACTAATCATAAGTATGTGTATTACATTTGAAGCATTCATATTTCTGAAAAAAACTTACCATATTTCTTTTAAGTTTATGACACTTAAAAAGTAAAGAAAATCCTGTTCCAAACTAATAAACTAAACTATTTGGAGCGATAAAAAATCCACAATGTTGCATCATTTAGAAGTCAGCATCAAATATATGTTGCAAGTGATAATTAGTAAACATTCTGTTCAACAAACATTGACTAGATAATGTAATTGCTGGAGGCTAGAGATTTGACACTTGTGCAGATTATAAGACCATAAAACGATTATCAAATTGACATCATTATCTAATTTTTAATTGATTAACTTGTTATTAACATGCTAGACAGATGCTATCATTGTGGTTTTCTAAAAGTTAATACAATTTTACAAAGAGAGTAAATAGAAAATTAACAAGAGCTGTCACAGGAGACAGCGAAGCTAGACTAATAAAATACTGGACGCAGTAAGGAGGACAAAACTATGAAAGAAAAATCAATTATGTATAATTATGTATTAAGTTATAGTAAAAAAATAACATTTGTTAACATTAATGCCAAGATCAAGGGGAATAATTCTAGAAATAGTCATGCTAGAGTTATGGACCTTGTCACACAACATTTGTGTAATGATAAGAAATATATATTTGAAGTTTGAAGTAGATACCTTAAAAAGTAAAGAAGTTATAATATTTCTTAAAGAAAATCCTAAGTTCAAAGAGAGATAAATCTGTAAATATTGCTTCAAGAGTTATGAACATTGTCACATAAAATGCATTTGATGATTAGGAATAAGTATTTGAAGTTTGAGGTAGATACCTTTAAAAATAAAAAAGTTATAATAAAAAATAACATTTTTCTAGTAAAAAAAATCTAAGTTTATGGGGAGATAATTCTTGCAATATTGGTGCTAGAGTTATGAACCTTGTCACATAAGATGTGGATGATGATAACGTAAATATATTTGAAGTATGAAGTTGATCCCTTTAGAAATAAATAAGTAACAGTAAAAAAAAAATATTTTTTATGGAAAATTCTAAGTTCAAAGGGAGATAAATCTGAAAATATTGGTGCTAGAGTTATGAACCTTGTCACATAAGATGGGGAGGATGATAGCGTAAATATATTTGAAGTATGAGGTTGATCCCTTAAGAAATAAAGAAGAAACAGTAAGAAATAGCATTTTTTAAGGAAAATTCTAAGTTCAAGGGGAGATAAATCTGAAAATATTGGTGCTAGAATTATGAACCTTGTCACATAAGATGTGGTTGATGATAAGGAACATATATTTGAAGTTTGAAGTTGATACCTTAAGAAATGACAAAGTTATAGTGAAAAATATTTTACTGCACCAAAACTTTAATCTAAAATCTGGACGTAGACGCCGGGGCGAGTAGGACAGCTCTCCATATACTTCGTATAGTCGAGCTAAAAATGCTATGCCATCGCATTAATACAACACTAAATAGTAGTGTAGGAACAGTTTTTTTTGTTTCTATACAATTTTGAAGATTGCCACAATGCATAGATCCCTGACCTATCTTATTCTTATTATCAGATTAGTGGTTAAATCTGTTGTTAACTCAATAAAAGATCAGAGTAGCAATATATCAATGCACTTGAGTCTAGTGAATTTGGTGGTGAAGGTCATTTTTCACACAGCCTAAATGGACTTTGAAAATATTTGAACTATTACAAAAACTTTAACATAAGTGGTTATGCCGACGCCGACGCTCGGGTGACTGCAATAGCTCTACTTATTCTTATCGAATAGTCAAGCTAAAAAATAAAATGAATATGTGTAAAGAGGTTTATAATAGGCCCTCAATTTTCTTAGAAAAAAAATCTCAAATTTTGCTCAAGCTAAGAACTGATGCTGTGAGTATCCTTTCTCCTATACTTGTCAAGCTTACAACTTACCATCAAGGCTGATAGATGAAAGGTTGCGACCATTAAACCCCTGTAATTTGCCATCTTCTAATGCTAGCAAAGCTCTTGCAACTTTAGTTCTTTCTAGTACAGAGGTTTGCATTCTATACACTTCAGTGTGTATGGCCACTGAATGCCCCATATGATCCGCGAGTAATTTTAGTTCATCGTCTCTCATATCCATTATCTGCAAAATACATGTATGATAACCAGTTAAGTCAGTTAAGCAGAGCTCTACAGAAACTTGTAAGACTGACGGTTTAAAGACAAAAAAAATTGTTTAAGCTCTTCTTAAACCCCTTTTATTCCCTCATGACCTAAGTTTTCAATGGATGATATAATTCACAGGTTCATCCAAGTAACATTTCTTTTAAGAGCAATTTTTTAAGAACAGACAACTGACATTTTAAAAATCAAAAAAGCACACCATGAAAACTTTGTTCTAAGGTGCATATATGTTTGACTAGTTCATGGACATCTTGCATAAATTTTCCAAGGGAAGGAATCTGCAGTCAACTTTAAATATATTAATTCAAGCTTATTTAAATCAATCTCAAATCCATTTCCTGGAACCAACCAGTGGCACATGAGGAAAGATGGTCATGACTCAGGCAGGAGTTAAACCTACAACCCAAGAGACAAAAGGAGGACACCTCAACCACTATACACCTTTTCAGTCACTTAAAAACTGTAACATTCCTCTTTCAGCAAAACATTAAAAATACACATTTACCTGGGTAGTTGTTGCCAAGTATTTCCTCAATTTTGTAGTCCTGACTCGCTCTGGGAAGTTCATATTTGGACACTTTGCTGTGACCACTCTCAAGGCCTCACATCCATCCTGTGGTGAATCAGTTACTCTTGAGAACAAGAAAGTGTTTGTTGATGGTATCCCAACCTGTGCACGAACCATTAAAAGGTGTGACAGGCTTTGCACCATATCGGTGTTTAGAATCACAAAAACCTTTCTAAATCCCCGTGTGCTCTTCCCCCTCACCTCAATCAGTTCCATTCTGAAGTGATAAAGCAATTACAACCTACATTAACAAAATAAATACTGATAATAATTTGTTTGTTTTCCAAATATATCAGTACTTTAGAGACCTCAAAGCTATTAAATATCTTTTAAAGAACTGACCAATGTGATAAGGAAACATCTGCATCACATTAATTTTATCAGGCTGAGACAAGGCAAATATACCACCCACCTGTAAGTTGTGAGTACGGAAAAATGTCTTAAATTGAAGCTTGCCTTTGTTTTTGGACACAATTATATTGAAACAAACTACAGAACTCAGATTTGAAATAAAGAATATTACATGGTACTTAGGAAGACAATGTCTTTTGCAACCACTATATAAGTTGCTAGAAATCTTGTAAGCAGTTGAACAACAGCCTATTTTGCAAGAGTCGTAAAGCCAATTTTTCTTAATGCCTTATTCCACAATTTTTCAGTTACATGGGCAAGATCATCAAAGTATCATTTCAAAGTTACTGTCACCGAAACCAGACAACTTTTACTAACAGCTTATCACAATAGCTTGATATTTCTTTACAGCTATATTTTTGTAGTTCTGATGCAATCACCAACATTTTCCATAAACAAATGGCAGCATTATCTGTATAAAAATTGTGCACAGTCATCAAAAATCATAAAAATATTTCTAGTACTGTGTTTCAGTGCTGCGAATAGCATAGCCAATGAAAATGACATGCATTATTGTCTATCAATGTTTTCTATGCACTATTGAAAAAAAAAAAAATTCAAAATCAAAGCACTTGAAATAAGTACTTTAATTGACACTAATAAAACTTGAAAGGTACTAAAAATTGAACTTCTACTAAAATTTTTGAAATCAGTTTTACATGCAACAATAAGGAATACTGAGCATTACCTCTTTAACAGAGTTTTTTCACTGACAGCCAGGGAATTGTAGATTTCAGTGTTTGTATCTAATTCATTTCCTCTTATTCGCTTCTTAAAGTCACTCACTGTCAGCTCAGAGACCTCATTTACTCTTCTTTTGTTAAAGAGTGCTATGCGAGCGATCAGTACATGTGTCATATAAACATACTCAGCATAGAAGGTGTGTTCTTTTCTATTTGAATTCTCATTTCTTCAACAAGAAAATTTTTTAGTGTAACTAAATCTTCCGTTGAAGGCAGATCATTTCTTTGTTCATCGCCTTCAGACGCTTACTTCTGTTGGCGACTGACGAAACCTTCCCTTTCCACTCTGCATCAAACATTTCTGTGAACTCCTTCGCATCCTGTTTTCGTCCATAGTCTTTTTTGCGAAGGCACATACTTGATTTCAGCAGGCTAACCTGTTTAATGTAATGTCCTAAGCTTTTTCCCAGCTGTGATGAACCAGTATCTTGGTAAAATTCCTTCACAGTTTTTGCCACTAAATCAAATTTTGAGGACATATGAAATGGCTTTAAAGGATAGCTGAACAGTTCCTCTTCATTTTTAATCTTACCAGGAGTCTAGCTAAAGTTCTCATCTTTGTTCTGACGGTTTATCTAGGTCTTTAAGTCTTTGCTCTTCTTGTTGGTCCCTCTTCCAGAAGATAAAACCCAAACTGCCTAATTAACTCATCTTCCTGACAAATTTTCTTTACACCAGGGATTTTCTTTTGTCTCTTTCATTTTATCAACAACTTCCTCTAACATTTCAATGTCTTCATCCTGTTGTTGAAGAAATGGGGCTATTTCACATCTAGCTTCTCTAATTTAAGGTTTCCCTCAGTGTCATTTTCAGTAGTCCCGTTTGGTTTTGAACAACAAGTTTTAACATGACTCCACAGAAGTTATGATGGTAAAAACCTTTGCAATAACAGCAGTGTACATAGTCATAAGCCTTGGATTGGCCAGAAGGGGTTTCTGTAAGACAATGAAATTTCCCTCTCTTCTGAAGAACCTGTTAAAATACACAAAAAAGAGAGCCATGAGGGCAATGATTATTGCTCATATGAGTAACACTGCAATTTGTGACCATAATTTTCTTCTCAAGATGACCAAAATATGAGCTAGGGCTAAACATTATCAAATTAAAATTTTCTGACAATTTTTCAGGACATTTGGGCTAAGAATGTAACCTCTATAGAGAGGAACAAAGATTTTCCATATTTAAGCGCTGTGACCTAGTTTTTGAACCAAGATGACCTATATTCTTATTTGTGCTAGAAATCATTAATCAACCTTTCTGATATATTTCCATGATAATTGGACTAAAAATGTACGAGGAATCTTTAATAAACGAGTGCTGTGACCTAGTTATTGACCTTAGATGACAAAATTTGAAACCAATTTTGAATGCAATAATGGATTTGTTTTTGACCAGAGATGACCTTTATTCAAACTTTAAGGGAGACACAGGCAAAATTTTCATTCATTATTCTGTAAAAGTCCTCAAACTGAATACACTTGGCAGTCACGGAACAAAACTTTTCCTCTTAAAAGAATATAACAGTACTTTTCTAACCTGTCCAACGTGGATCAGGTTAGAGCTTTAGAATTTCACAATAGTGGTCATACTGAACTCTGGAAACGTTTAAGATCATGTCAAATGAATGGGTTAGACTTGTTTCAATCATACACTATTAACAATATCTGTTATTGCAACTTTTGGGGTTTTTCAAGTCAAAGGACTAGTTTGAAAACTATTTGGTGATTCTGTCAGCGTCATTCAACATATATATATATTTACGCTTCAAACCAAAAATATATAGAATTTATACAAAAATTCATGCTTGGACTTTCAAAAATGTCATTTTAGCATGATTTAAGTTCATATATCATTTTGATATTTTTTTATCATTAATTTGCCTGAGTATCCCTTTAAGCTATAAATCATTGAATCAACCTTTCTGACAAATTTTTAGGATATTTGAATAAAATTCACTAGACTATCTAAGCCTCAAGATCCCAATGTGTTGTCCTATAAGTCTATGTAAAACAAATGAGCCCCAGGATGGGCTAACCTTGGCACCAGGGACACAATTTATACAACTTAAGTAGATAGACCCACCAGGCAATGCTTAATACCAAATATCTAAGATCTGGGTCCTAAAGTTTCTGACAAGACTTTTGAATTTTCTAATACATAAGTTTTTATGAAAGAAAGTGACCCCTAGGGCGGGACTATCTTTGACTCCTTTGGAAAGATCTTACATAACATTATAAGAGTCCATTTTGTTGTTCTACATATAAAACACTAGGCCATAGGCCTCCAAGTTTTAAAGAAGAATATTCAAATGTGTTTACATTAGTCTATGTGATATGGTTCATTCAGACAAGTCATAAAAAAATCAAGGACTTTTCAAGAACTATTCAAGGACCTTTCTCTCTGACTTTCTCAGGGACTACAGCCCACAATATACCCATATAACCGAGGTATATCCAGTGAAAAATATACAAGGTATGTTCCTTAATCTCAAGTAGAATTATCATTCTGATACTTGCCACTTAATTATGATTTATTGTAAGATTTTCAATTTATTATATCAATGAAAAGCTTGTAATCTTAGATTTATTCTTCATCTTATTGTTTGACACAAAAACATTTAATTTTACTGCTAAACCTATGACTTATCAGGCCATTTTACATATGATGTATAGAGAGAGTTACGCAGTTGCCTGTTACCTTTACTCGAAACACAGCTGATAAGAATAGCATGTCTTCTGCTATTTCAGATTCTGTTTATTGGTTTATTCAAACTCTATGTCATTGTCAATGAATGGAAATTTGTCTACCCAATTTGGGTGAAAAATGGAACTTTTCATTCACTTGTGATCACTCTTGTTGTTTACCTTCACCCCTTAACAGGTGCATAAGATTTACATAACATGAATATTTCCAGCATATATAAAAGCCAGTATCTGATCCTTATCTTAATTATAACTTTTCTAGTTACAGTTGTTGCTAAGCTTTTGTTCTTGCTTTTATTTTTTTTGTGCAATTTTAGTAATAATTCAGTTTGTTCTGTACTCTTTGAAGAGAAATTTGTATATAGCTGAACAAAATTTAACCATGTTACCAAATATCTAAGCTCTAAGCATAATTGTTTCTAGCAATATATTTTTACAATTAACCAATACAACTCCATGTAAAACTTGACCTGTCCTCCAGTGTTTGCCATTTTTTTGACACACGGGCATTAAAAACCCTTGAAAAGAGCACTGGAAATGCTACAAATCAGTAACAGGAGCTGTAGACCTTCTGGTTTCAAACAAGAAGCTTGTTAAAATTTGTATTTCAACATCCCTTTAGTAGAGGTCTGACCAACAAATATCAGTGCAAAGTAGAATAAAATTTAGCCAAGGGATATACAGAAGTCCCATGAACAATGATGCATTTAAGGAGCAAGAAAGATCATCATAAGCACTTTGTGCTTAGGTGAGCTATAAAATTATTGATAAAGTTTGTTTACCTCAACATTATGGTTGAAGTTGCCCTCATTCTTCAGTTTCTGTAACTCTGCTTTTCTTTCTTTGCTTCTCAGTTCCATTTTACTGATTTTTCTCACCCTTGTTTCTGCTGCATGGACAGCAAATATGTGCTTTGATATCTTTGACTTGTACAAGTTCTTACAATAGTAGCAATACGCTTTTTTGGAATAGTTCCTCTTGCCATCAATTGATTGGTAATGTTCAACATTAACTGAAAATTATATTTAAGAAAGATCTGATTGATGCCCTGACAGCAACTGCTTCCTAATGCTTGGGTCTTATTAGGTCTCTACCCCCTCCTCCTACCACCACCACTACCAAATCAGCATTTTTTTTATTTGAAGTAATCCTTTGGTAGGATTTACATTGAATACAATTGCCTTTAATCAATAAGGGCAACATTGTCGCAATATAAGCCCATCACTGAAGCTTTTGAAGGAGATCTGGGCATTCTGGCTATGCATAGCAATTACCTCTTGAGTGTGACCTTGAATTAATCATGCATGGAGCCATGGTGGTGTGCATTTCTACAAAGTCTTATAAAAATTCTTCCATACATGTAGGAGATATGCTCCAAACCAAATCTAGATTTTTCATCATCTTTAGTGACTTTGATTTTGCATTTGATTCATGTCCGTAGTCAGGATAATGAACATGTGTGCAAAAATTCCTCAATTAAGGATGACTAAAATTAATGGTTCCTATACATTTTCATATTTTTATCTAAACTTTGACCCCCATGTGTGACCTTGACATTAACAGCAGGGACCTGATTTATGTGCATGATACTCTGCCTCACAATGGTGAACATTTGTGCCAAGTTTTATTACAATTCTTCTTTGCAAAAAAGAAGATTTGCCCCTGACGACTTCTATGTATGACCTTCACCTTAGAGTCCTAGTTCATTTGCACAACACAGCTTCTCATAGAGGTGAATATTTCTTTGAAGTTTTATTAAAATCCCACTTTGTGTGTAGGAGATATGCCCCAGACAATTTTTTTTAGATATTTTGTTACCTTCAGTGACCTTGACCTTGCAATTAATGACCTAATTTTCAAGTATCACAGACGTAAAAGCAGCACAATATGCCAAGGCTCGAAATTTTGTCTAAGTCAGAATGTTATATTCTTAAGTAAGTGGCATTGCTTTTTAACTTAACACAAGTTGAAGTCCCAATGTACTGAAGTTTTTATGACAGTCCCTTTAACTCCGACTTAACAAAGTTCTATTGTAAATTGCACCACATAAATTGACATTTAAACTTATTGGAAAACATACACCAATTATATTTATAGCCATAATCTTAAAATGGAAGGACATTTACTCCTCTAAAATCACACAATTAAAGGTCATATTGAAAGAACATTTTCAAATTAACAAATTCTTTAATTTTACAGAGCTTCAAAAGCTGGACAAAACAATACGAATATTTTTGAAATGGCATAAGAAATGACAAAGATATGAATGCTTTGGATTTGAAAAATTGATGTTCATCTATAAAGTCACAGGTGAACTAATTAATTTGCATAACTCATTTAAAGACCTTACAAATGAATTTTAAACAATTTTATCAAATGTTTTATTAGATTTCATAGATTAATTTTATAATACCACTTCTTTGTAAATGCAACCTTTTCTTCAAACCTTCTATATGACCTCTAAGATAAATCTAGCAATATCATCATCTAGGCCTTTTCATTAAGCAATGCCAAAATGAGCTCATACACACAATATATCTCTTGTTCTTTTAAAGATGTACTAGGCTCATCTTTGAGAGAAATATTTTTGTTGCAGAAATTGTTTGAAATCTATGAAATTCATACTGAATATGTCTAATTTGAATAACAGAACACACAAAAAGTGTATTGAAAGCTGCATTCTGTACAACGGGTCAAGTAAATTGAATCATTTCTTAAAAAAACTGCCAGTCTTTTTAACCACACTATGTATTCATACTGTAT